GGACCGGCCTTGTGTCACCAGAACAGAGGGTAGGAGGTGGTAGAGTCAGGGGGGGCCAGAGCTGGGAAATGGAGGCCTAAAATGGCCAGATGGTAGCCATGGTGACCATTCAAGAGGGCAAGAGATTAAAAATCATGGGGCTTCAGAAACTGGGGATCTTGGATTAGCTAGGTCATTATTGGGGTGACTAACATATGGTCCAGCTTTTTGGACACTTATGAGAACATTAGCAGTTATACCAGGACAGGAACCACCCAAGACTGTTTCCAGCAAGCAGAGATGGGCTGCGACCCTAACGGCAACCGTAACGGTGACCGTGTGCAGGAGGAGGGCCAGGCCAAACTGCCCGGGCGGTGCTTCATAAACTTTCTCTGGTAAAGAGCTGTTTTTCTCAATAAACTATGGTTGATCCGCTCAGGAAGAGTTGGGCTATCATAACAAATACCACGGGCTGGAGGCTTAAACAACAGGAATTAATTTTCTTATAGTTCTGGCAGCTGGAAGTCTGAGATCAAGTGGGTTGGATTCTCCGAGGCCTCTCTCCCCGGTTTGCAGGCGGCCACCTTCTGCGGCGTCCTTGCAGGACCTTCCCTCGGTGCACAGCACATGTCTGTGTCCAAATTTCTTCTTCTTAAAAGGACACCAGGTAGCCCTGGCTGGTGTGGTTTGATGGATTGGGTGCCTGCCTGTGAACCAAAGGCTCACCAGTTCGATTCCCAGTCCCGGCACATGCCTGGTTGTGGGTCAGGTCCCCAGTGGGGGGCACATGAGAAGCAACCGCACATGGATACTTTTCTCCTCCTCTTTCTCCCTCCCTTCCCCTCTGTCTAAAAATAAATAAATAAATAATGTATTTTTTAAAAGGACACCAAGTATATTGGATTAAGGCCCATCCATATGACCTCATTTTACCTTAATTTGAATCATGTAAGGACGCCCCCAATTGTGCTAATATTAGACTAGTAAGCACCACTGTGGTAGGAAAAAGAGGTGATAGGACCTTTTTTTGTGTGTGGATTGTTAAGGTCTGAGCTGACCTGAGACCTCTTGATATGCAAATCTGAGTGATGGTATAAGTAAGTTATAATAGGGCCAAGGAGCAAGTCTAACAGGAATTCTGTCTTTACCCTTGTATGGGGTCCCCAGTGAAATGGCCACTGCTTCCTGGTACGCAGATTAAATGCAGTATCTTTTGGCTACGTACCGTGATACCCAGGCCTGGTGACAAACAGGGCCAGCACAGGTAAGTCTCAGTAGCATTTCCTGGTGCCCGTATCATCTCAGAACAGGAAATTTAAAAGACATTACTCACACATGGGAAATTTAAAGCAACTAAAAGGGTTGAGTGCAAAACCTACCAACGGGAGGATAAAAAAGAAACAGGAGTAAAACCCAACGGGAAATAAAGTATAAAATAGCCCTGGCCAGTGTGACTCACATGGTTGGAACATCATCCTGAAAACTGAAAAGTCATGGGTTCGATTCTTGGTCAGGGCACACGCCTAGGTTGTGGATTCGGTCCCCAGTCAGGGTGTGTGCAATCAGTATTTCTCTCTCGAATTGATGTTTCTCTCCCCACTTCTCTCCCCTCCCTTCCCCTTTCTTTTTTTTTTTTAAATATTTTATTTATTTATTTTTAGAGAGAGGGGAAGGGAAGGAGAAAGAGTGGGAGAGAAATATGTTGGTTCTCTCTTAGTCCCCTGCTGGCGGCTCATGCCCTGACTGGGAGAATACTTCCTGGCTCCTTCCCCTTTCTTAATAAGCACATCCTTGGGTGAAGATTAAAAAAGAGCATAAAATAGCTGACTTAAATACAGTTAAGAGACGGGTCATGAAATCCGAATTTAGTGAGTTTTGATGGTATTAGTGCTTCCCTGATAAATTGGGATAGTTCACTGGGTCCATTAACAGGAAGTAAGCCCCATGTGATCCAGGGTGAACACGAATCTCTGAGGCATCCAGCACAGCATGTGGCTGAAGCTAGAAGCCCTTTGGACATGACACTCAGGCACTCTGCTCTGGGAAATGATCACCGGGCCGTGAATGTGGCCGTTAAGACCTCCAACCTTAGGTCCCCATGTAGGACACCAGGGCAGGGCTGGCAGTGACCTAGATGAGCAACAGCATCACCAGGCCGTGGGAGTGGAGCTGGGGGTTGGTCTGTCGGACTGTGGGGGCCCCCGATCACCAGCATCACCACTTGATCTTGACCCAAGCAACAGAACCAAATTGGACTTTCTAGTTCTCATGGGACTAGTCTATTCGGACCGAGTAAACCTAGGACTCGGACAATTCATGGACTGAGCGGGGCAGTCTTAAGAGAGAATGAAGTCCTGCTAATGAAAGAACGTGGTGCTCGAGTGATTCATTAGAGAAACAAAAGAGATCTGTCTACATCGTCCACCACGCAGATGAAATGGGTCATCCTTCTTACCATTGACTCATGAAACATAACATCTGCTATTTTGCCAGGCCCTTTTTCTGCCCACTGACTACACCAGTGTTGGTAAGATAAAGATCGAACCTCTAATAAACTCAAAATATTTGTTGGGTGAGAGAGTCTAGTAAACAGTAAAAACAGAATATGACAAATACAGGGACAGAGGCTTATCTTCTAGCTAGGTGTGTTTAGGAGGAAATGATAAACACAGAGCAAATAAAATACATGTTACACAATAATCATTGTCCTGGAAAAAGAGAAAGCAAGGAAAGAAGCAAGTGGGGAGGATGGTGAGTGGCAGGGTGATATTTGAGCGAGGGCTGTAGGAAGTGAGGGAGGGAGCCATGCGGTCACAGAGGGGAAGAGGAAACTGCAAGTGCAAAGGCCCTGAGGCAGGAGCACGCCTGTTGTGTTCCCGAATACAGCTGGAGCCTACGCAGCTGGGGCCTATGCAGCCGCAGCCAGAGCTCAGGGAGCGAGGAGGGCAGAGGTGAGAACGGAGGCCAGAAAGGTGATGTCATTTCCTGTGAGTAAACTGAGCAGCCATCAGAGGGTGTTGAATAGAAGAACGACAGGATATGACTTAGGATTTAAGAGAACCGCTCTGGCTGCTGTGCTGAGAATGGACTGGTGGGAGCGACAGCAGAAGCAGGAAGAGCAGGTAGGAGGCTGTTTTAGAAATCCAGGGTAAAGAGGACAGTGGCCTGGGCCAGCATGGGACGAAGTGGGCCAGACTGGGACATAATTTGAAGGTAGAATAGGAACCATAGAGTTTGCAGATTGTTTGAATTTAGAGAATGAAAGAAAGAGAGGAGTCAAGGAGGACTCCACTTTTTTGTATTGTTGCTTTTTGTAAAAATCAGGTTTTTGGAGAAGTCGTTTACATACTTCTCCAAAAGGATGTATTTTAGTAGTAAAATTCACCATTTTTAGTGAATGGTCCTATAGGTTTTGATAAATGAACTCAGTTATGTAACCAACACCTAAATCAAGTTAAAGAGCCAGTTCCATCACTAGAAAAATATCCCGCGTGCCCCTCTGTGGCCAGCCCTTCCCACATCCCAACCCCTGGCAACCACCCATCTGCTCTCTGTCCCTACAGTTTGCCTCTCCCACAATGTCATATAAATGGAGTCATACAGTACGGAGCCACTTGAGTTTGGCCTCTTCCCTTGCATTCATGACTAGAAGGAAGAAGGTGGGAAAGGATAACACCTGTTTTACCAGGAAAAAACAGTCTTCCCGAGAAACCATCAGACAACTGTTTCCATCGCATTGGCCAACACTCACCCCCATAGGCACTTGGGACCCAGCCAGAGCTCAGGGCACTGAGTGTTCGGCTTTTCCAGGCTCTGAGGTGGAGGAAGCAAAGGACGGGGATGCGAAAGGGTGTTGCCTCAGCCAGCCAAAGAAGCCTGCCCGCTACGGGGATGTTGAGGGGTTAAATGTGTGTTTTTTCACATTTCTCTGAATGCAGAGTGGAAAAGAGTTGGGAGGTTCCGGGCTTGGAGGGAAAGTCTCCCCAACGGTTAAAGATTTGAGGGAGGAGTGGACTGTGTAAAGGAGCCACAGCCAGCCCTCAAGGCCTGAAGCTAAGGCAGTTCCTGGTGTAATGACATCTGTCACTGCTGTCATCTCCAGCCCTGCCCTTGGGGAGGTTAGGACTCTACAAAGGGCTGTTCAGTGAGCAGAGGCGTCTGCCTGAATGGGCAGGTTGGCCCGGCTCCCACTGGAGGAGACTCCCCGGGAGAGGACAGCTGGGCAGGCCCAAGGGCTTGTCTGCAGCTCCAGCTGCAGGTGGTGTTTGTGGAACCGAAGCAGCGAGGCCTTCCCCGAAGCGTGGTCTAGATGTGGGGTGCGCTCCTGGGCCCAGCTCCAACCAGGGAGCAAATGGCTCCTCTGCGGTCCTGGCATGGACCCTGCCAGGGTCCATTTCCACCATTTCCACCTCCGGGACCCCCCGCCCTGATTGGGGAGGGGAAGTCATTGGAAACCCTGGCAAACTTGGGAGCCGGGTTCCGGCCGCCCTCTCCGGGCCCAGCCTGACCCTCGGGTTCTTCGAGATGGACAGAAGGGTGCCCTCGGTCTCCAGGGCTTCCAGGAGGCTGCTCGCCCAACTCAGAGAAAACCCGCCATTGTGGGCCACTTATGGGGCAACCTCTCTACCCCGCAGGTGTGTCTAGGCATTCGTTTCTCAAGGGCTTCTCTCAGGATGCCACTTAAAAGGGCTCATGTGCGTTGTGAAGGGGAGGGAGGGAGAGTTGGAGACAAACAGGCACAGAAGAACCGAGGGAGAGAGAGGATGAGGAGGGAGCCCGGGCGAAGGAAAAGGAATGAAGGAAGGGGCGCCTAGTGATGGAAGCCGGGGAGCGGAGAGCAGAGGGGGAACGTGCATGACAGAAGGGGAAACCGGAGCCAGGGTGACTGAGGCAAGGGGACCACGGAGGTACAGTGACTGGCAAAGAGGGGACTGGGTCCCTAAAGGGAGGCCCTGGGATTCAGCTCCCAGCTGAGCCACCCACTCACTCCCTAGGCTGGTTCGAGGTGAGCAGGAGGCCAGTTTAGCATTTGTTTGTTTATTTTCATAAAACCAACCCTGCAAGCATTTACTGTGATCTGGTAATAACCTAAAGGTAATTAAAACAACATGAACAAATATTTTAGAAGAGTACCCCTAATGAAGGATACTAAACAACAAACAAGAACCTACACTCCCTTGTCAGAAGCTCACTTCACTGACTGGTTCTGTTTGGAGACATCTCCCTTTCAGCATGACTGGATCTAGTTGTTTTCTTGACTTTGCTTTAGAATGAATCTCTTTTGCGTGAACTATTTCAGCAAAGCCCAGGACAGGCTCCGGATGTGGGGGCTGTGTGGAAAGGAGGGGCAGGGCTGGTCCTGGGGACCAGCGGCCTAGCTGCAGAAGAATGAAGGCTGGGAAAGGCCATCCCAAGGGAACAGGAGGTCCCCTGCAGGGCAGGAAGCCAGGAACTCCTTGTGGCCTAGGACACTGCTCTCACCCCACCCCTGTGGGTGCAGGCAGGTGACTCAAATCCAAGATGAGGCAGGGCCTGGAACCCTACTGTCTCACTCCCTGGAACCCTACCGCATCCAAGGAAGATTCACAGAATCAGCTGTGAGTCACTGGTGAGTCAGCTTCTGGGGCTGCGGAGGCAAAGCTGCCTCAGCTCAAATCCGGATGGGCCGCTGAGCACAGGGGGAGGGGAGGGGAGGGGAGGGGACAGCGCACTATCGTGGGAGTGGTTTCTCCCACCCAGCCCTGTTTGAAAGCCCAAAACGCAAGGGCCCTGCAGCCCCCACGCCCTCGGGGACCTTTTATGTAGCAGGGCTGGGTCTCCAGCCTCTTTTGCAGGGAAGGACAAAACAAAGGTCTGGAATTAGGATGTTGAATCCCAGGTGGGCATGACCCTAGCTGCCCCCATTTTAACCCCAACTGCACCCCTGCTTCCCAATGTCTCCATTCAAGGGGAAAAAAACAGGACCTGGATAATAATTTATTGAAATTTGGGAGAATAAATAAAATGTGCAGGCAGCCTTACAAATAACTGTAAAAATCACGAACGTATATACATGAAGGCGCTCTTGGCCCCAGTGGGTGGAACCTGAGTCGGGTGTGGGGGTGTCGGGGTGAGGTCGGGGTCTCCCAGAGGAAGCAACCCTGAGCCAGCACGCGGGCGCCCTCCAGAGGTAGATGGCTTATTTACAACTGAGGAAACTGCCTGTGTTTAGGCTGCTGGGGTGCCCCGGGCCTCCCTGTATCCTTGTATTCTAAACCCCGATGGCCCGCTCCCCTGAGAGTATCCGCGGAACTGAACCCCTTGCACGATCCTCTGCACCCAGGAACGGTGGGAGGCCAGGCTGATGTAGACGCCGGGTCGGTTGCGCTCCGCACAGCCCTCGCCCCAGCTGATGATGCCCTCCAGCAGCCAGGTACCCTCCACCTGGCACATCAGGGGGCCTCCGGAGTCGCCCTACGGAGAAGAGGGCAGGTTAGGGACCCGCGTAACGCAGCGGGTGGTAAACAAACGGTTGCCTTTGTTAATGGGGAGGCATTTCTCTATCCTGCAGGCAGTGCCCGAACTCCAGCCAGGCAGGGAGGGCCAGGTAGGATGCCTTCAGGACTCACTTCTGGTGACAAACACTCCGTGTGAGACCTCCTTCCTCACAGGTGAGGCAGAGAGTACTGTTATTTGTTTCACAGATGGGGAAATTGAGGCTCAGAAAGAAGAAATGACTTGCCCAAGCAGGCAACCAGAGGCAGCCAAGTAGGAATTGCCAGCAGGTCTTCCAATACCCAAGCCCAGGCACTGACTGCACGCTCTCCTGCCATCCACCATAGCGACAGAGCTGTGGTGGAGGGTGTAGGACCCCCACCTCGGGACAGTGCAAGCTTCCTGAGAGTGGGGCCTGCACACCTGAGGTGCTCAGTGTATGTTGGGTGTATGAACGGATGGATGAATGACTGAACCCGGTGGAGGCCTGTTCTGCAGGCATCTAGGGGCACTGTAGGTCACGGCTGATTCTGGGGGCGGCCCAGCCAACCATCAGGAAGCTCAGGGGAGCAGGGCTGGGAACGAGGTGGGTGCTCACCAGACAGGCATCCCGTTCCCCCTCTAGGTAGCCGGCACACAACATATCCTCGGTGATGGCTCTCTGCCCAGCTCCTCGCCAGTACAGGCGACCACAGATTTCTGAGTCGATGATGGGAACCTTCAGCTTCTGTAGGGTCTGAGGGTGGGGCAGGGGCACTGGGAGCAGGGAGGAGAGAGTCAGGCTCGGGAAGTTCTCCTGGTTGCCTCCTCAATTCCCTCTTCCATTCATTCCCTTGAGCGGTGCTTCTCAAAGGCTAATGGATCGTCTCTGTGAGGCTCTCCTGAGATGGCTGCAGAAAACCCATATTCCAGGGCCCCACCTCTGGGCCTACTGAGTCAGGGCATGAACACACATCTTGAAGCTTGGAATTGTTAACCAGACCTCTGGTGTCCACAAATGGTTAGAACCAAGGGTCCGAGTTTGTCCTGTCTCAGACACCACTTCTTCTAGCATGGGCACTGCTACAGATGAGGTATTCAATAAATGAGTACTCAGTGTTGGATGTCATGAGGACCTGAAGAATTCCCTGACAGCCTGGGATGCAGGGCATTGCAGACCCTCCCAGTCCAGTTCCAGTTCTCACAGAACCTCCTAAGAAGAACCCTGGGGAGACTGGCTGCAGTCTCAGTCAGTGGGATCTCCAGATACCTAAAATGATGTCATTTCTCTAAATTCTTTCGGAATCTGGATACAGTTCCATTTTTCTGACACTTTGTCCTTTCTTAGTCTCTCTCTTTTTTTTTTTTTTGCTTCACTGCCTCTTACTTTATCTAATCTGCTCTGTGTTTTTAGATGATTTTTTCCAAACCTCCAAACTTGGTTTGTAATTATATTTTGCAGTTAGGGAGACCGTATTGCCTCCTGGGCATTTTGCCTGCAATTACAGCATGCTGCCACCAGGGGTATCTGTTCCCACTTTGGTATCTTAGGGGTTAGTATCTTATTCAGCTTGGCCCCAGGTATGCCTCCTTTCAGACATTCATAGATCACTTAATAGCTTTGTTTGATCTGGCTCCTGTTGCCTCAGAACACAGCCAAAGATAACTTTTAATTAGAAATGACCTGAAATTGTCCACCTAGTCTTCTGTGATATCACATCTTTGGATGCAATCCATCTTTTTGTCTGTTTCTGTCATGCTATGCCTTTGGCCTCTACACTTTGCTGTGAAGGCACCTCTGTTTCTGAGTGTCCACCATCTTCCGTCCTTATCCATCCCCAACCACCTGGTGGAGAAGAAGCTCACCTCCATCATGGACAGTCCCCCAGCCTGCAATCCAGCAGTCCATGTGCGGATGGAGACGGACAGAGAAATCAGGCAGGCAGATGGGAAGGATTCGCTCAGAAAACTGGATGGGGTGCTCGAGGCGCACCAATGCGATGTCCGCACGGGAACCCTCCTTCCAGGAGTACACAGGGTGGGGGTGCACCCAGGCAACACCCACCTCCTGGGACCTTGGGCCAGGATTCCCCAGCTGCCAGGCACCCAGCAGCACAGAGTACAGAAATGGCTTGTTCAGAGTGCTGGAAGGAAGAGCAAAGGGGATGGGGTTAGCCAGGAACCACAGGTGGCCAGAAAGGATCTAAAAGGGGAAGAGTACACACAACAAGTCCCCACAAAAGCAAAAAAAAGCAAAAAAAAAAAGGCAAAAGAGGAAAGGAGCAGGGTCGCTGCTGAGGGACCGGACCAGGGGCTGGCAGCCAAAGCTGTGTGAGGAGCACGGGTTTGGGGCAGAAAGCTGGGGGCTCAAGTGGGAAGAGACGGGCTGTCATACCCTTTGAAGCAGTGGGCGGCGGTGATCACCCAGCGGCTGGTGAGCAGGGAGCCTGCACAGTGGTGGGTCCCATTCTTCTGGATGCTCACAACCCAGGGCCACTGGGCATCTGCGCTGTCTTCACCACCCACAATCCGGTTCAGCTGCTGGGGCTTCCCACAGGCTGGGAGCACTGGCGGGGGGGAGGCAGTTTTCTCTCATCCCCTCAGCACAGTCCTCTTCCCCTTCCATCTGCCCTTTACCCACCTCCAGTACTTAGGCCTGTGCTCTGTTGCCTCTCCCTCTACCCTTCTATCCTGCCCGTACCCCTTCCTTGGCTATTTCTCCTCTGACCTGCCCTTTCTCTGCCCTCCCTTTTGGCTGGCCTTTCCCCTCCACTTGGTTCAACATTGCCCGCAACTGTTCCTTTTACCCTCTCGGCCATTTACCGTTCTGGGCTCTGGCTGCACTTGGTTCTCTCTCCTCCACATCCCAGTCTCCGTTCTGCCCTCTGGGCCTCCTTTCCTGTCTACTCTCTAGCTCAACCCCACTCTTGCCTCACTGCCTCCTTCTGACCTGGCCCCACAGACAGACACACAGACACTGCCCTCCCCCTCGGGCTTCCTCCATTCCCCTCCCCTCAGAACAGCTCCTACTCACCAGGTGTCTCGGCAGCACCAAGGATGGCTAAGGACAAGAGAAGGAAAGGGTCAGGCCAGTGGAGAGGCCCTTCGGTGCCCAGTGGAGAGAAGTCCTCCAGCGTCCAGTGGAGAGCACACCCCTCCCCCCATGCCTAGTGACCCTCTCCAGTCTCATTCCAGGCCCCCCCGGGCCTCCAGGTAGGGCATTTCCTGGAGCCTGGGTAGGGCAGACAGAATCCTCATGTTGTCATTATAAGCTGAGACTCTGCTGTCTTTCTCCAGCTTGTGCCGGGATCCATCCCACCTTTTGGGGGATAAGGAACCAACTCCTGGGACGCCTTTCACAGAGAGTGGACACACGCCTGACCCTCTCAAGCTTCCTCCATCAGACCCGAGCAGTGACCCAAGACTCCCCTTACCCCTCACCCCAAGCCCAAGGCCTGGAAGCTGCTACCCCTGAAGACGGAAGAAACAGGAGGGAGGAAGATGATGATGACGACGATGAGTGTGATCAGTAAGAACCACCAAGTGGGAAGCATACAAGCCCTCTTAGGACCTGCAGTGTTTCATCCCCAAGACCAGGGGGAAAAGTGAGGCATGGCACAGTCAGATCACGGGAGAGAGAGGGAGACGGGTGTGGAGGGGGCTGGCGGGGAGAGAGCTCGAAGGAGGAGACTGGATTCAGGTAGGAAGGCAGCTGGGTTGAGAGGGAGGAGGAAGTGATCCTGGAGGGGCAGAGAGGGAGGGAAGGAAACGGGGAGGAGCGCAAGGTCCTGAGGACTCACCTGTAGAAGCCAGAAGCAGCAGGGAGGTTAAGATCCTGAGACAGCCCCCACCCAGGACTCGGGGGGTTCTGGAAACAAGCATGTCGGACAGGGGTGGGATCACAGCCTAGTCAGCTGTTCTGTGCTGGCCAGCAGGAGTGTGCAGGGTTCCCTGCAGGTCACCCCAGTTTTTATCCTGGGAGGTGGAATGCCGTCAGACCAGTCCCCCCAGTGAGTGGCTCAGTCCCTGCCACCCGGGGCTGTAGGTCACCAGAGGGGGGTGGGGCTGCCAGGAGGAAATGAGCCTTAACGGGAACTGGGGGTCCTAGCTGAGACCCCTGCCTCAGTACAGGACTAATGGACTCAGGCTCTGGATCTGAAGCTCCAGCTGCGGGCCCAGGATCTGGCCTCAGGAGGGCACTCAAAGGGAACTGGACTTGGCATTGACTAAGGAGTTGGGGGGAGGGGTGCAGAGAAAGGTCCTCACAGCTTGAAGGAAGGGGGTCCAGGTGGGGAAGGGCAGGTACTCAGACCCAGGGCCTGAGTCCTCAGTAGCAGGAGGCTCAGGTATGAAGTATTAGAGAGTCCCCAGTGCTTTGGGGAGATGGGGGCTGGCAAGGGGGCTGCCTAGAGACTCCATAGGGTACCGACCGCTGTGACCAGCTGCCCTGACTCAGCTTCGGACCTGGACCAGCCCAGGAGTCTGGGATCCATTCATCAAGCCCCCAGTGGCTGCCAGTTCTGGGGCCACCTTCCTGTGGGCCCTGCCACACAGAAGCCCAAGGACTCACCCTGCTCACCCTTCACCTTCACTCCCAGGAAGCCCATGAGGGCGGGGCCAGCCAGTTGCTCTCGTGGCTATGACTTATGAGGCTGCCTGGGAAGGGCTGGGCAACCGGGGCTCCCTCACCCTATCCCACCCCTGGGTTCCTGGAAACCCCCCACCCCACCTCAACAGGGTCAAAGGGCCTCTGGGCTACAGTTATTGGAGGAAGCCTCATCAGGTGTTGGGCCCCAGATGCCCCTCACTCCCCCTGCGGAATCTGCCCTCCTGACCCCGAGAACCCCACCCTGAGGTCAGGTCTTCCCTGACGCAGTCCCACGCTCTTGACAGACCCACTCCGAGTAGGAGGAGCAGGCTTCTTTTTCCTCTGAAACAGATCTGTATCTTTTTTCCTTTCATTCAATCAACAAACCTCAAGCTGGGTCCTTGCTATACCTAGGGAAGAGTCAAGAGAAATAGCAATAACAACTGACAGCTTTTAGTGCACTAGGTATCACCTCATTTAGCCTCTCGTTTTCTTGTTATTATCCCATTCTGCAGATGAGGAAACTGAGGCTACTTAGGGAGGTTAAAGACTTGCTCGAGGTACCCCAGCTGGTGAGTGGTGAGGCTGGATTTGAACCCTGAGCCAGGAGTCAGGTGATGGGACTAGACTCAGTGGAACCCGAGGGACCTCAGTCCAGTGGATGGATAACTGTCACGAGAGGTCATACCTGAGGGTAGTCGGGGGTCTCAGGAGCCCAGAAGAGGCACCTGACTCCACTCAGGGGCCAGCGAAGGCTGCCTGGGAAAGAATGACCTTGAAACAAAAGCCTGGGGAATAAAATGGAGTTGGCCCTGCAGAGGCTGGGGAGGGGGTCGGCACAGGGGGACCAGGCATAAGGGCCTGGAGGAAAGGGGGAGAGCTGGGTGACTTTGGGGCTGGAGTGCAGGGGGATAGGACGCTGGAAGGGCCAGGGGCTGCTACAGCAGATTCTCAGCACACCCTCCGCTGGGCCGACCCCGGCTTAGTCAACGTGCTCTGCCCCCAGAGCCTGCCCCAGTGTGAACATCCTTGCTGCCCACCTCCTGGCGCTGGCAGGGTTTCGGTGGTGGCAGGTTCCGAGATCCTGCCATGGACAGCCTGCCCTGGAAACCGTCAGTACCAAAAAGGATCATGATGTGATTTACTGGCCCTACTTCGATTGAGGGGCACAGGGAAATTCAGGTTAAACTGTAGGGGCAAGCCCCCATTTCACTCCACCCAAAGACAAGCCACAGATGGGATGCAGGAGCCTCAAACAGCCTGCAGTTGATGCATTATTTTCTGCCCCAGGACTGGGGGAAGTGGGGGCAGCAGGCAGGAGAACACTCACACAGGGTGGCCGAGATGGGGGGGGTTTCTGTAGGGACCCCTCAGCAACTGAAAGGAAATTTCCTAGGTGGGGGGAGGGTGCCCCCCTCCCTTGCTCACTCTCCTGGGTCCACCTTTGCATTCTATGGCTAGGCATACCCCTCATGCTTCCCCGACCCACTCCCTTGCTGCAACTGAGGTGGTTGGCCTCCCCAGCTCACGCAACAAGCATTTATTTGCTACCTGCTGTATGCCAGGCCCTGTGCTGGGCACCAGGACACAATGGTGAATAAGATGCACGTCTTATCCTCAGGCAACACATATCTCCCTGGGGGTGGGAGGCAGGTGAACAAGTAATGACGGTGAGGTGGTATGGGGGTGGGCACGGAGGCCACGGGACTGAGAGGGCGTGTCAGGGAAGGAGCAGCAGCGGGCATGGACACCGGAGGCCCTCCCTGAAGTTAGGTGCTGTGTCTGCAGCTCCCCGAGGGGAGGGACAGTTTGAGGAAGCTCCCATGATCCTCAGATTCGAGTTTGTTGCCTGGTGCACACTGAGCCTCAATGGATGTTTGTTGAATGAATAAATGAGTGTGGAAGAGGTGGGTCTGGATGACTCCATGGGGACTGATGCTCCAGCCTCCTGCCTCTCCAGTTTCCTTTTTGTTCCAGCTTTTTCTGCCTTTCATGAGACCTGGGTTCCTGTCCAAGTGACTCAAGGGGTAGGCATGTGCCTCAAGATGTTTCTGTCCTTGAGACGGGGTGGGCAAGAAAAGGGGCCTAAGGAGCAGGGCCCAGTGGGAACCAGAGGAAGTCCTGAGCAGCCAATGAAGACATCCCGGCACAAGTCCTGGGCAAAGGCCCCAGAGACCAGCTCCTGACTTCCAGGGAGTGAAGACCCTCTCGTGACTCAACAGTTATTAGACAAAATATCGACTGAGTGCCTAGCCTATCAGGCACTTGGCTGGACATCTCTTCACCTGGACATGAGATGGATAGGCTGCCCACGGGGCTGCAGAGGCCTTACATGAAACAGCAGCTGGAGCTGGCAATGCTCAACCCAGACAAGTGACTCACCACAGCATTTCAGACGTGGGCATCGAGGTCAGGGCAGAGATATGAACAGGGGTATCCATTCATCATCAACCAAAACCTACCGAGTACCTATTGCGTACCAGGAGCTGCCCTACGAGCTGGAGATCCAGCAGTGAACAAAGCGCCAGTGATCCTGCCCTCCTGGCAGGGACGCTGGAGGGAACAATCAACACAGTAAACCATTTAGTCTGATGGATGTCGATAAGGTACCTGGTGTTACGACAGGAAGGGGGCGGGGAATGCGAGGCGGGGATGGGGAGGTTGCAGTCTTAATCCAGGAACCTAAGGCCATGCTCACTTTTGAACTGAGACTTGTAGGAAAAGGGGTGAGGGTTGTGGGTGCCATCACTGACCACTCCAGCCCCGGGAACAGCACGGGTGGGTGGGACTAGTGGGTCGAGCCAATGGCAAAGGAGAGGCACGGTAGCTAGGGGGCCTGGCGCCACTGGGGAAGACGCATCCTCCGTGATGTGGTGAGCCCACCCTGAACTCCAGGTAAGCTAAGCCACTTGGCCCCTTCCGTCTTGGTTCCAGCAGAGTGTTCAGTGTGTTCTGAGACCACAGCTGCCAAACGGGTGTGGACCCCAGCTTTGTCAGACCTGTAGTGCCCTTTGTTTTTCTAAATTGGGCAAATCCACATTTTTTAAAGTCTGAATTTTGACCCATGCTGTTGAGAACATGCATGTACAAGTGTCTGAGTCCCTGCACAAACAGTATTTGTACACCCATGTTAAAAGTAGCACTATGCACAACAGCCGAAAGGTGGGAACAACCCAAGCTTCTGTTGATGGAGGAGCAGATCAGCAAAATGTGGCTCATCTGTGCAACTGAGTATCAATATTCAGCCACAGAAAGGGATGGAAGACTGAAGCATCCTGCAGCATCGAGAACATTTGCTCAGTGAAATAAACCAGACACGAAAGGACAAATGCTGTGTGACTCTGCTTCCGTGAGGTCCTGGAGTCGTCCAGCTCATAAAGACAGAATGCAGGTTAGGGGTCACGGGGCTGGAGGAAGGAAAAGGGACTGAGTGTCTAATGGGGTCAGCGTTTCAGCTGGGGAAGATGAGCAGCTGGGGGGGCTGTTTGCACAGCATGATGAATGTGCTCAATGCCACTGAACTGTGCCCTTACATGGTTAAAATAGCGAGTCTTATGTACATTTTACTGGAACTAAAAAAGTCTGAATGTCTACCTCTTCGTGAATGCTGGAAGCTGCGGCGACACGGCTCCATGGGCTGAGGGGCCCTGACTGCAGCCCTGCCCCCACGCCCCCACCCTGCACTCTGCCACACCGGTTGGTGTACTGGGTCCTCAGGCTCTTCCTGCTCTTGGAGGGCAGGGCCAGCAGATTCTCCGTTCCTTCCCGCCCCCTCCCCGTTCAGTAATTCAAACTAAGCTCCCAAAGTGAGCAGAGCCCCCCAAAGCAGCAAGCTAAACAGTAGCTCCTTCCTCCAACCCAGGCCTCAGCGCGTTCCTCTCCGAAGAGAAGCGGTCAGCACTGCCAGGCCTGCCGGGACCACATGAAAAAGGGCTGCTCCAGCGCGAAGGGCTGGCAGGCCTTGCAAGACTGATGCCGATTTAGCAACGAGCTGGGCTGAGCTCATTGGCAGACAAGGTTTTCCGGGCACTAATGGTTTTAAGGAACCTGGCCTGGCTCATGACATGGACACTGGAGGATGCCGCTCAACAGCCGGCATTTTGTCACCTTCCCTTGGGGATCTCCTTCCTCCCATCTAACCGCACTCCCGAACTGCCCTGCAAATCAGATGTTGCTCCAGACGCCCTGCCTCTTGAAGACCTGGGTTGAACTTAGCCCCCAGCCCCATCCCAGGGCTCAGCTCCCACATCCCTGGCAGAACCCTGCCCCTGGCTGCCATGCCCAGGCCTCACATTTCCCTTCACCTCTGCCCAGGCTCCTCCTTAGTTTTGTTCATTCCAGTCCTGGCCCCAAAGCTCCGCCCCTTCTCCCCTCCACACATTGCCCGCACACCA